GTCTTTCAATGATCCCGAAATTAATTTCACAAACGTGTCGCGAATATTCTTCTATGTCCTTCCCTTGCCAATTGCGAAGTTATTTTATAAATAAAGTCATAAGACTATTATCTTAATATTCTATTTTTGTGTGTTGCTATTTCATCAGACTTCTGTTTTAACAATGACGCTGTAAAAAGGTGCATGTTATATTCCAAAACGTTAAATAAATATTTTCTGTTTGTGAAAGACAAACGATCTGATATTTTTGTGACATTTTCGGTGTGACATAGTCCAAATATGAACTTGCTGGAAAATTTGCAAGATAAAAATGATTGTTCTGTTCTGTTACTATCTGGTTCAAAAGTTACTGCTACCAAGGGCTTCACATCATCACGCTAACGTTTCGTGACTCTCATGATGATGATTTCATCATCATCACTTTAGCCACAGGACGTCCACTGCTGAACATAGGCCTCCCCCAATGACTTCCACATCGCACGGTTGGTAGCGGCCTGCATCCAGCGCCTTCCTGCTACCTTTATCAGGTCATCTTTATCGTGGCAAGCTGCGTTTTCCAGATGATGATTTATTTAATCCTTCAAGCTCCGCGAATCTAGACACAATAGATAATCAATTGTTATGACATTAATTAATGCCGTCTGGGACTCAATCGGTAACATGTATATTATTTACATATGGCATTCTCCTCCAGTTAACCTTTGGGCTAAGCAGAAATTAAATTGAATTTGATTTTATATCTTAAATTGCATAAATGTTGCTTTCAAATTAAAGAAGTTACTTACTTAATGAAATTGGCTGCTAGGTATATCTAGTTTTAGGTATAGACCTAAATCTGTTATGCGGGTTTAACCGAGCGTAACTAGTGTTGAAAGAATTGAAGAAAGAAACATTCTTTTTATAAGGCATGTGTCAATAGCGTCAGCAAAAGAAATTATTTACATAAGATTTTCAAGAGTTTTTTTAATCTATATTAATGGCCTCTGCCAAATGACTTTACCAAATTGTAAAATCCTAACATACGCAGATGACACGGTTCTTCTTGTGCATGGGGATACTTGGAAGCATGCCCGTAAATTGACTGAAGGTGCCCTAAGTGCTGTTGCTCAATGGCTTAATAGAAACCTATTAACTCTAAACGTGAGCAAAACCAAGTATATTACCTTCTCTGCTTCTGTAACTTCACAACCAAAGGATCCTTTTGACGTGAAAATTCACACATGTGATGAACATGACCAAACCTGTTGCTGCCTATCACTGTCGCGTGCCAATGACATTAAGTACCTGGGTGTCCACCTTGACAGTACTCTTAGCTGGTCCACTCATATTGTTAATTTGACTACGCGCCTGCGAAAAGTCATGCCGATCCTGAGAAAATTGAGAAACTCAGCTGATATAAATACCCTCAGGATGGTCTATTGTGCAATAGCACAGTCCATGGTGTTGTATTGTATCCCTGCCTGGGGTGGAGCCGGTGTCACTCATCTTATTAGACTTGAAAGGGCGCAGAGAGCTGTCTTAAAAGTTATGACCGGGAAACCATACCGTTATCCAACTGCTCAATTATATGCTAATTGCCAGGTCCTTTCAGTGAGACAGCTTTATGTGCTTCAATTGATGTTACGCAAACATTCCTCGCTTCCCTTAGACGTGACCCTACAAAACCGGCGCACGACACACAGAGTATGTCACAGTGTACCTCATAGAACTGCTCTTGCGAGTAGACAATACTATGTGCGTTGTTCATTCCTTTACAACAAAATAAACAAAATCCTTGATATTTACACTTACCCACGTAACAAATTCAAAATTACATTGAAAAATTGGTTGCAAGATCTCACATTTCACGAAACAGAGAATCTCATAAAGTCGCCATAATTGATTGCAGTTATAGAGAGAAAATTGAGTGGTTGTCTATCTTTTACAGATAAAACCGATCCCAAGATCTACATCGCAGGGCTCTTTCTTTCTTTCTTTCCTTCTTTCTCTCTTACACTCACTTGTTTTAATATGCACTGCACACGTACGTACAATTTCAAATACATATTCTACTCTCTCTTACACACACTCGACACACACACACACACACACACACACACACACACACACACACACACACACACACACACACGACACTCACACACTCACAAGTAGGTACCTATTTACCAAAAGCTATAGTACTTAATTAAAATTATGTTTGGCATCATCAACTAAATTACAACTGTGAAATTAAATTGGTGGAAGAATTAGCGTCTGTCACACAGTTTAAATGTAACTAGTATAGACGTTAATGATCCCTATCTTAATACAGCTCCTATTGTTAAATGTAATTTTTTCGTTAAGATACCATGTGCATTGTTAAAGACACAATAAAGTTATTTATTATTTATTTATTTAAAAGAGTTTTCAGACTGGCTCAAAGTTTGGCACTAATCCTAAATATTACTTTATCGGTAGCTATGCCAAATATTTATGTCAAAATTAATAAAATATTAACAACCATAATCCAATATATTATTACGATGCAAGAAGCTACGCAGTAAAACAATCTTATTTTATTTAGTCATTTTTACATGTATTTTAAAATAAGTGCTCTGAAAAAATCAGCAAATGTTCATGCTGAGAGCTTTATTGTAGTATTCGTAGGTACAGTCAGCGTCAAATAGTTCGTAATACCCAAAGTAGCCAAAAAGTTCGTCTTTGTTAAAATTGGAATAAGGTTGTGTTGTCTTCTTTTTGGCTTAAGCCCAGTTTCTGATTCGTAGTTAAAATAACCAATAGTCAAATTTGACAGATGTCAAATGACAAGTAGTTAAATAACAGGAAAAAATGTTTTTCGAACAATGGTTAGCTTGACTTTTAGTACATTTTATAACTATTTTTTTACATTTTGTTAATATTTAACTATTAGTAATAAAATTTAACAATTAGTTATTTTAAAAAAACTGGGCCTTAGGGTGTCATGAACTATTTGACGCTGAGCGACATAGCCTAAGCTCACACATAAAGCTAGATGGGTATCGAACCTGAGACTGGAATCTTAACGCAAACTACTAAAACGAAAACGACACAACGACAAAAACAACAAACGCTTTCCGCTATAAGACAAACCACAGCTTACGAAGAGCAAGGAAATTTCCGCGTAAATTAAAATCTTATCAGAATACGAGATCTTGAAGAGAAACAACATGGCGACCTTGCATTGTCTTCAATGAAGTTTGGCAAAATAACTGTTCTTTGTAGGGCTGTACAAAAACTAAAACAGGTTATTTCTTTTTAATTCGTAGTATTTTTCGATATTGCTGACTTTTTCAAATCAATCTTTTTATTTTTGTTATTGGAAAAACACTTGTAGGCAAGCAAACTTCGTCTCTTGTGGCTTATTTTCTTCTAGGCAATCTTAACTATGTGCTGGCAAAATGAATTAATTTCAATATTTTAGGTAATTAAGAATGTATGGCTTTTAAAATCTGGCATTAAAATGAAGGGCTTTGCCTAAAAAAAAAGAATTTGTATAACGGTATGCTCTTTTTTTAACTTGGCCTTATTTTTCCGAGACGATGAAAAGCTCACCTGCATTTTGACAGCCCTAAATTACGTAGATGTTTAAACTGTTATTAGCTGAATTCCTTGTATATTTAGCAAAGAAACATTCCTGATGACGTCCCGAGGGTGTGCTGCTGTGACGTCACCGCAATAAAAACGAAAAATAACTTTCCCGGGGCTCAATAGTCTAAATAACTGGTTTTCCTATTGTCACAGTTCATTAATCTCAAATTAACTTGTTTTTTAGGGTTAATGACATCGTCGGGATATCAAGAGTATATAAAATAAGTTTTGTATGTTGTAAATAGGATGGAGCGAAGGCGTCAATAGTATCTCTCTACATCTCATAAGTAAAATTGAGGTTTTACTCCTAATTTTTTTTGACTGGGTGACTCGGGCAATATTCCACCACGAAGACCAATGCGCCCAAAGGAATGGGTGGAGAATAATCATAGTACATCCCTAATTTAACTTGAAATGTAGAGACTATTTTCGTACGAACTAGAATATGTAGGTATCATTTTAAGAGCTTAATCTCTCATCATTCGTTCTCTATATTGCATAGAGACGGGATCAGGTTTGGTAAGGCATAGCAACCAGACGGTTATAAATAAAACATTAATATACAAAAACCGGAACGTCTGTATGTCCACGCAGGGATTGAGTGCACAATCGATAGATAATGTTGGTACATTTTTTGACTGCTAGTTTATTGTTTTGGCATTTTAAATAGTTATCTTGCAAACCACACAAAGTAACATTAGTGACAGATCAATTTCGTAATAATTTTAAGAATTGCGTAGCGAATTAATATTAACAAGAAAGAACATGGCGAAACGATCGTGGAGCTGTCAGGAGGTGTTACTTAGTTAAGAAATATTGATAGTTAGTTTGGCTGGGTAAGGTCTACCTACCCGTATCTCACTTTGTCTTTTGATTTGGCAATTGTACCACTGCTTCAGGACAATAAATGGGCCAGTGCTGAGAAGAAGCAGCGCAAGAAACTCAGACACTATTGTCAGCCTCTTTTTCAAAGGTTGACAGGTTTTCAAAATACATAGTTATAAATATTTATGCGAGCTAGGCAGTTCGCATCCCAAACATTTTAATCTTTTAAAAAAATGTACCTATACTTACCTCATAGTTTGACCACAGATTGTTGCTTTAAAATAATCTTGACTCTACCAAGTGCAATAAAGTGTTTTAGTTTATTTTTGTAAGTAACACCTACCTACGCAATTAGTGCATACCTATTCTTAAAGTAAATTAAACTCTACCTATTCTATTTTGCAAAATTCACGCCTACTGTTATTTGTAAAACAAACAAACAAAACATGGTTCCTAATTCCTAAAGTTCATTAACTTAGTAGCATAATAAAAACATTTCTAAATAAAAAATAACTTTGTGTCATTTACGAATACTCTTAACAAGACGTTGTAGTATCATTACTTGCCTTAACAATCCTATGTTGTTATATGTATGTTCACTTTCACGTGTCAAATCACTCACACCCAACGCAACACTTCAAAAACATTAAAAAAAACACTTCACTCTCCGACCATACACTATACACTTTCTATAAAGTTCGATAGTAAACACCGAGTCGATGGTACGCGTCAAAATGCCCGGTCACCACGAGGGAAGAGTGAAGGTAGCGTAGTGATGGACAGCTAATCTAAAATCTATCGATAAAACTGATGTTATCGTATGGAAATGAGAGGTTAGTGAAGGGTAGATTGTATTTTATCTTTATCTTTATCAAGACAATGCACAGATTTTACTTGAAGAAACTGTTTTTGTAAATAAATAAGTACTCAAAGTATTCAAGGCTAGTTCAGCAGAATACTTACTGATAAAAACTAAAAAAGAAAGGCATAAAAAGGGCAAATTATTTTAAAAGTTGTTGGTTTTTAATGTGCACATTTACGGTATTGTATGGAAACCATTATAATATACAAATTTTTTAGTAACATCTACCGGAAATCGTACGTTCGACGCTTCGTTAGTGTCTTGGTGCGACGTCATAAACGAGCTACAACTACCGTGTTTTATTTGGCCAGAGCGCTAAAACGCAGTCGTAAAATTAAGACAGCATGAACTGTTTGCCTTCCGTATCATAATGCTGCCAAAAATATTGATTAGTTTTGTCTTCAGCTTTTCATGAACTGAGCGACGATAGTCGAATGGCCGACTCGTGATCCCAGCAGGAACGCGGGTTTGATCCCAGCCACCGCTCAACCATTGTGGTGAACCCACTCGTAACACTTTAAATCTTACCACGAGGGAATAACGGATTAGTAATTAGTATGTATTTACGATTATAATTATTGCTAATATTCTTTTGAAAAAAATACTTTCGACTCTAGTACATCCCTAGTATTGTGTGAATTCTCTAACTGTTGTGTTTACGGGAAAGAACTAGAATTATTCCCGAGACTGATTACCGCGTCGCAGATGTGTGCAAGGGCAAGGGCGGTTAATTGGGTCACTTGGAAGCCAGCCAACGCTGGTTGCCGGCAGAAAACTACTGTTTCATGAAGCTATGCTGTTAAACTCCCCCTTCTTCTATTTGTTTCTGAAAATATGGATTCAAGAGAGATTAGGTACGACTGCAAATTTTTTTCTATCGATTTTATTTTTAATCTACAACGAGGAAGCTCTTGGCCTGCATCTCACCTAGTCTCGCCGTGTAGGTAAGGACAATCTGTTGATTCTTAGATGGCTCAAAGATGGAGTGCAGACCAGGTGCGGTTTTGTTCCCCAGTCGATGAAGCACATGATGTCGTGCCCTGAGTGCCCGAGCAACTGCACGCAGGCAATGACATATACTATAAAAACATCTTAGCACGCAGGAGGATTTAATGAATGCTGCCACGCTGCTGACAACGCCATTCTTTTAGCAGTGTTTTGGGCTGACACTGTGTAGGTTTGTTGTCGACACGATAAGAAGAAGAAGATAATGTGTAACTAGACCCAAGTTTATTTGCCTATCGACCTGTGTATTTCGATATCGACCACCACTACAGACATCGATACCCAGTGTTGCATCACTCGCTTGCGTAAGAGACTTTCGCCGTGTTTTTGCGAACATTGCAGTTTATTTATGCCTTAATCTCAGGGCATCGAGGCCGTGGCACACATTTTGATGTAATGTAATCGAGCATGATCCTTGTAGGGTTCCTTATGGTAATAATAATTATACTAGAACTCTGTGGTCCCATTTAAAGTGTGTTTAAATTTTCTCATAGTTGTCGCGCCAAGTATTTTATAGCAGGCAATGACAATCTTCAGTTAGACGTAAGCTTGCCTTAAGGAGCAAAAAGGTAGGTATAAAAGTAGCTCTTATGTTTTAACTATGACATCTATTTACCACCTCTTAATTGAGCAGAACTTTTAGCAGTTAGCAATAGACAATGCATAATTTAGCTATGTGCTTTCTCATACATAAACGTATGTTAACGTTTATTATTTGTAGCTAAAGCCTGGTCCTTGAACACGTAGAATCCCGTCCAATGACCCCAAGCTACCCATCCTTATCGCTCGCGCGTAATTATATTGCTGTCGCGAATGTGCGACGGGCGCCCGCAGTGAGTGTGCGAGCGCGACAGCAACATAATTACGTGTGAGCGACAAAGATGGGCAGCTTGGGGTCATTGGACGGGATTTTACGTGCTCACGGACCAGGCTTTAGGTTTGCTTATAAAAACTGTTCGTACTAAGTAGCTATCAAAACTTAAAACTTTGTCCCAATTTTAGGGTGGTTTAGCCATACCTTCTTTATAGTTTAAATAAGTTGATTCATTTCAACATAGAGTCACTCTACTAAGCGTGCGATGATTTATAGACAGTCAAGAAGTCTGGACATTTACACTGCGCTTCTAGTCCCAAACTAAGCAAAGCTTGTACTATGGGTACTAGACAACGGTAACGGTATACCAAAAAAAAAATATTTAAGTATATACATATATAAACATACTTAAATACTTTTTTATGCATAGAAAACACCCAGTCCAATGCAAACAAATAATATGTTCATGCACACAAATGTTTGTACTGTGCGGGAATCGAACCCGCTACCTCCGGAATAGTGGTCCATTTCGAACCACTACACCAAACGGCCGACAAACTGATGAACTGTTTTAATTACCTAAATTAGTAGCTACTTATTGCCTACCTTGAAATAAAACTAACGCTTGTTACTGCTCTACACAGGACCCTAAAAGTTAATAATCTAGCAATTTATTCCAGCCTAGCTTAAGCTCTTAAGCTTTCTCGCTCAATAATAAGTAATAACCGCTTTCTGTCTTGTAAATGCATCAATTTATCATAATGCATCATAAAACCGACGTTTCTAATTTTTATCATAATTGAACGGCACCAAAACGGTTTGTTGCAGGATATTACCGACTGTGTTATTGTAGAAAATTGGAGATTAATTTTTGTTTTCCTTTACGTTACGATGGGGTAAATTTCCAGTCATTGGACTCTACGAGTTATTGAACAAACACCCGTTGAACTTCCCTAAAAATGCAAAGTACAACTAACTCCACTCAACTCCATTTTATCCCCATCAGTAAGAATCTCTTAGGCTGAGTTGCACCACCTAACTTTGACCGTAACTATGACGATAATCGGTGTTTTTTGTATGGAGTTTGATAGATTTTTGACGTTTGTCAAAGTTAAAGTTAGATGGTGCAACCCACCCTTAGTTGTTTGAAATAAATGTTATTTTTAATTAATTAAGGCTGAGTTGCACCACCTAAAGGCGGGTCCAGACATGTATCATTTGCCCGATCCGATCACCGTATCCGTAATTCCGTATCGTCGACGCGTATCATGATCGCATATGTGGACGGGTTTGAATTACCCGGTTATTACCGGTAACTATAACGATAACCGGTGTTGTTTGTATGGAGTTTGACAGGTTTTTGGCGAGAAACTGTCCAATGACTCCACTACGTGGCCCTTCCAATGACTTTTTTACCCTATATTATTTTAAATGGGTCAAGTAGCGCAATGGTGATAGTCTAGTGACGAGGAAATTCGGGTTCGATTACCTGTATGATTGATGAACCTTGAAGCTAGTTTAATAAGCTTTTGCCCGCGGCTTCACCATTTCGTTAGTCACAGATCGTCATAAATTATAGCCTATATGTATATTATTCTGGGTTATAAACAATAATACTGTAAAGTTTCATCAAAATCCGTTCAGTAGTTTTTGCGTGAGAGTAACATCCAGACATCCTGACATCCAGCCATCCAAACTTTCGCATTTATAATAGTAGGATTATGTTTTGTTTTCAAAATGGTTCAACCAAACTGGGAATAATTACCTACACTTAAGTGTTCAATTACTTCGTTTGCGACACTGTAATTCAACGCTGAAGCTCTACGATTTCGTATCTTAAGCACTTTAAACATATCTGCAATATTACGAAGCGATATCGCATTATCAGCCAATTTGTCTATAGCTCAGCAGGTGACTGGTAGAGCCTGTCGTTGCGACATGCGCGTGCGCCTTTCGCCATAGCTTTGTCTGGTTTGAAAGGAGACGCTCAAGGCTGTACGCAACTTTAAACCATATCGATATCGACTATTGACGTCTCTTTCACTCATACCAGCATCCCCAAAAGTAAGAGAGAGAGATGAAATTTAAATTAGTTTTGGTACTACTATGCACTCTATGATAGTAATTTACGTCAATAATTGTCGAGTGGATCGTCTTTTTGCTCGGACATGCTCTGAAAATCATTAACTCATCTCTCGTAGATTAATATCCTACCGGTAATTTGTTTAATCATAACTGTAAAACGAAGTATAAAATGATGATGATATTTTGCGAGATAACTAATAATTCAGAATCTAAACTACCAGAACCAGTACAGAATTTATGAATTAATATTAATTATAATTATTTTTATTTTATTTTTATTATATTTATGGAGGCCGCGTACCGGAAAACGCAGAGTGGGACGTCCGCCCACAAGGTGGACCGACGACCTGATAAAGGTAGCAGGAAGGCGCTGTATGCAGGCCGCTACCAACCGTGCGATGTGGAAGTCATTGGGGGAGGCCTATGTTCAGCAGTGGACGTCCTGTGGCTGAAATGATGATGATAATAATTTTTTGTACAATAAGTGTAAACCGTATAGCTATTGCCAACTTAAGGATTTAAAACACTTTGAGATGAAAAATTAAAGAAAGTATTTTAATTATCGACCATTTATGACTTTTTTCTTATAACTCAATAAACTGTTAAACAGAATATTAACAGTTTTGATTTAAAACTTACGTAACTTAGAAAATATTGAAATAAATTTAAAATCCTCCAAAAAGTACAGTCATTGCCCATTACTTACACTAATTGCCCACATCAAAGCACAGTAATTGCCCAGTATCTTAAAACAAAATAATCAATTTTAAAATGACAAAATAGGCTTTAAATAAACAAAACAAAACATTAAACTTATATTCTAGTAGTACAGTCTTCAAAATTTCAAAATAAATTGCGTTTGGCCTTATATTAACTATATTATCAAACATTTCTTGAGCTGATGTTGATGAGTCAGAATCGACAGAGACAGAATCATCTTCAAAACATAGATGACGCAAAAATTTGAATTTTATATGTAAATAACTATATGTATTTATTTTATTATCTTCTTTGATATCAGTTCAAGTGGTTGCTCAGAATGTTCAATTAGCTGTTGGTTATTCTTCCCTTAAGTTGAATCTATTTCCTTACAATTAACATTTTCACTAGTAGATTTAAAGTAGGATTTTCATTTTTAGTATTTGCGTTTGAATTTATAATCAATTTTTTTCAAGCCAAACCATATTTTTCAGCAATTTATCTTGTAGATAAATTGTTGGATACATCTTGTACAGCTTCGATCGCTTTTTGCATATTTTCTATGCTATATTGAACTTTTGGAGTCTTTGGCATACTGAAAATGAAACATTAAAAGCCATTTCAATATTTATGCCTGTAAATTGCAAAACAAGTCTAGCAATTAGCAACTTAAACACTGCTACTGCATGGTGGCAACACTCTAATAATAATTGCCCTGGGCAATAACTATACATTAACATATGGCAATAACTGAAATGATGGTGGGCAATAACTAAAAATATACAGATTTACGTGCAGTGATTACCCACCGTTAAAATGACCGTTAGAAATCAAATTTCATCAGTTATTTTCATTGATAATGGAGAAAACACTTATAATTTCATCATGACTATACACCATTAGTTGAATATTAAATAATTTGCAAAAAAAAATTAACCTCTAAGCAAGTAATTCCTTAGTAAAATTGTTAAAGTCTTTACCTGTTTGAGTAACATTTTCACCGGTCTTGACAAAATCCGCCATAACTGTTTTTTTTAGTGTTTCATATTGCAAATTTTAAATCTACTGTACATTGATCTCGGAGCCAGCTACTTAGTACATTCAAATCTAACTAGAGTGATTCAAAGTCAGCACCTGACAATATTATTCTTAAAGCGGGCAATCACTACCAGTGGGCAATCACTCTCTGGTTTACCCTATTTACTTTGTTTTATTTTTTGAACTGCATTGAAGCGCCACTTTATTTAATTACAGCAAACAAGCGCGAAGTAGAGAAATAACTAACATTATAATTCTTGGCGTGCCTTTTCCGTTAGGTAACAAACAACATAATTTCCAAATTACTGGAAGATAGTTAACACTCGAGATATATTAATAAAATACAGTATTATGCTCGCTTATCTATTTTTTTTTACATTTCTAAGGAAACTTAAAGCTAATTTTGTTGTGTACATTTTACATTGGTAACGTATCTTCTATATCGTCGGCCGTTTGGTGTAGTGGTTTGAAACGGACCACTATTCCGGAGGTAGCGGGTTCGATTCCCGCACAGTATAAACATTTGTGTGCATGAACATATTTGTTTGTATTAGACTGGGTGGTTTCTATGTAGGTATAATAAGTATGTATTTACAAAAAAAAGTATTTAAGTATGTTTATATCCGTTGTGTAGTACCCATAGTACAAGCTTTGCTTAGTTTGGGACTAGAAGCGCAGTGTAAAATGTCCAAGTTTATTTGTTAATTATAATCCTCTTCTTTTCTACTACGTACTACATCTTATCTCGTTGTAATACAGTCTATTTTGCAATGTTTGTGCTGTCAATTGACTGTTTAAACTGTACAGACTATACTACAATCAAAAGGGGACCTAGGAGTTTAGGTTCTACAATTTGATGGAAACAAGAGGTGGAGATTTTGGAGTACGTTAGTAATCTTTCAATCGCCGCCAACCTATGCGTTAACATTTTCAGCGAAACACAAATAAATGACTGAATGACTACTTTACTTCACAATAAACAATTTGGTTTTACCAAAGGTAGAAGTACTACTGACGCTGGAGTAGCACTACTGAAACACGTCTTTGATGCTTGGGAGAGTAAAAAAGACGCTGTTGGTATTTTTTGTGACCTTTCAAAAGCGTTTGATTGTGTAAACCACCAAACCTTACTAAAAAAATTGCGACATTATGGTGTTTTTATTTGTATTAATGGAACTGAGTCTTCTGGAGCACCTCTTACCATGGGTGTGCCACAGGGATCGATATTGGGACCTTTGCTATTTCTTATTTATATTAATGACCTTCCCTACTTTGTAAAAGATCTATGTGATATTGTGTTATTTGCTGATGACACATCTCTCATTTTCAAAGTTGATAGAGGTAAAGTAAACCTTGATGATATAAATGACACACTCTCACAGGTTTTGCATTGGTTTACTGTTAACAACTTATTGTTAAATGCAAACAAAACTAAGTGCATTAAATTTACCTTACCTAATGTGAGGCAGGTTCCCACACAATTGATGGTGAAGAATGAACCATTAAATAGCATAAGTTCCACAACATTCTTGGGAATCACTTTAGACTCTAAACTTCAGTGGGGTCCTCATATTGAAACCTTGTCAGCAAGGCTCAGTTCAGCTGCTTTTGCAGTGAGAAAGATAAGGCAATTAACTGACATTGAAACGGCAAGGCTAGTTTATTTTAGCTATTTTCATAGTATAATGTCATACGGCATATTGTTGTGGGGCTCAGCTGCGGACATTGAAACTGTGTTCGTTCTGCAGAAGAGAGCAGTGCGGGCCATTTATAACCTTGGACCCCGATTTTCCTTGAGAGAATTCTTTAAGGAGATTAATATACTGACAGTAGCTTCACAGTTCATTTATGAAAACCTTTTATATGTTCGCAAAAATATAGAGCAATTTACTAGAAAGAGTGATTTACACAAGTTCAATACAAGAAACAAAAATAAACTTGCCGTTCCAAATTTCAGACTGCACAAGATTGGTAATTCATTTATGGGGAAATGTATTAAACTTTTCAATAAATTACCACAAACTGTTGTAGAATTGCCCATTCATAAATTTAAAGCACATATCAAAAGCACCTTAATGAAAAAGGGCTACTATAAAGTTGATGATTATATAAAGGATAAAAATGTTTGGAATGTTCAACTACCTAGCTCGCATTAATACTCGTACTTATGACTATAATTTGTATATTTTAAAGACTGTAAAACCTTGAAAAGGAGGCTGACAATAGTGACTGAGTTTCTTGCGCTGCTTCTTCTCAGCACTGGCCCAATTATTGTCCCGAAGCAGTGGTAGGGTTAATATTGGGACGTGTAAAAGCGCTTTTTTAAAGCCTATTTGCAAAAATAAATTAATTTTATGAATTTTAATTTTATTTTACTGTTTACAATTGATTTAGAATTAAAACAATCAAAGAAAACAAACTTAATTATTAACTACGGAAAGGATATTATTATGTCCAGTAACTTGATTAACATTTACAGATACCTAACTCTCCACGTGTTTATTACAAACAAATATAAATTCACATTGAAATATCACAGGTATTTATTAGGTATTGTGTTTGCATTGCTATTTACCGTGGTAACAAAATGTTTCTTTCTTTCTGATCTACACAGTACTGAATAATATATAAATATAAAATATATATTTTTTGCGATATGACTTTGGTAAGGTCGTCGGTCCACCTTGTGGGTGGACGTCCCACGCTGCGTTTTCTGGTACGTGGCCTCCATTCCAGAACCTTGCTGCCCCATCGGCCGTCAGTTCTGCGTACTATGTGCCCAGCCCACTGCCACTTCCGTACCGTGAAGGTAGCGGGAAGGCGCTGGATGCAGGCCGCTACCAACCGTGCGATGTGGAAGTCATTGGGGGAGGCCTATGTTCAGCAGTGTACGTCCTGTGGCTGAAATGATGATGATGATGATGATGATGACTTTGGTAAGTAGGTAAAACCACATATTTTATGTGTTTGAGATAAGCACCGAAGAGGGTGCATTAGTTTAATCCTTTTGATCCTTTTTCACAGGCTCAATAATTAATGACTGAACAGATTTCAATTCCTCCAACTTCAAGGGTTTCCCAACCACCTCTTCTTCTATCTCCTGCAACGTCCTATCTTTGGTCTCTGGCATATAAAAGTACACCATCAGCAGACAGTATATCATTATGCCAGCATACAGGGTGTAAGCTCCATATATTCCTATGCTATTCATCAGATAAGGAAAAGTCTTCAGGTATACCACCGTATTTATCGATATCAGTATAAAAGTAAAACCACCCGCTATACTTTTATACCTCAGGGGAAATATTTCCCCTGCTATGACATACGGCATCGGCAGAGTGCAAGATGTCACGAACACCATCTGAAGATGCATCAGAACAATGCCCACTGTTGGAGATGTCAACACAGAATCACTATTCGATTTCCAATACGTATACGCGGCGATGACGAGCAAAACTACAGCGTTTAACGCAGAAAACACCAAAAAAAAATTTTTTCTCTTCGTTTTCATTATTATCCATATAGCTAGAGCAGCACCAAGAAGTCTATTGATGTTCAAGCCTAATGCGTGCTCATTATAACCTTTTCCTGTAATGTTTTCTATGAGATCAAATACATAAGTGTTCAGTAAATGACTCCCAGCCCACTGCCCTACGGTATACACATGGATCATGATGAATATTGGTTTGTAGAACTCTTTCTTCACTATAACACTTTTGAGTTTTATAATTTTTTCTCTGATCGTCATTTTGGATTTGAATTTTCTTCCAAGTTTCAACTGGTGTGTGATTTCGCTCGCTTTTATCATATTTGCTAATTCTTCTTCTTCGTCGTTGCCTCTAAGCCACCTGAAGGCGCGTTGGCACTCGTCGTATTTCTTCCTTGTTATCAACCAACTGGGTGTTTCAGGAGAGAGGATTGCAACAGGTAAATTGGCGATTGCCAGTCCTGCTCCTATGATGGCGTTTGTTCGCCAGTGTAGGTACAGGCCTGTGCCATGAGCCAAGAGAACGTTGAGGGCTGACAATAGTCCCGTGAACATCAAGAATGATCCTCTATATTTTGGGCTGGCGTATTCTCCAACCAAAATCGGGACGAGGATCAAGCTCGATCCCATAGAAAGTCCTTTAAAGAAGCGGCCTATGAGGAGCAGGGTGATGTCCTTGGCGAAGTAGACGGCCAGCCAGCCGATGATCGAGGCAAGAATACTGGCTATTTGACTGAGCTTCCGCCCCAGGCAGGCCATCGCGATTGAAACAAGCATGCTTCCCAGCAAGCCCGCTATAGAGGGAACAGCAGCTGAAAAGGAAAATAGATAGAGTGAATAATGCTCTTTCCAAAGTATTAGACTGGTTTACAACTAATAATTTGCTATTAAACGCAAAAAAAACCAAATGTTTAAAATTCACTATGCCTAATGTCAAACAAGTTAATACTAATATTACAGTAAATAATGAACGCATTGAACTGATAAACTCTACTGTCTTTCTAGGTATTACCCTAGACTGTAAATTACAATGGGGCCCCCATGGTATCCTTCCGTTTGGCCAAATTACTTTTCGCCAAATTTCACTTCGCAAACAACTTATCGCCAAAGTTTCATTTCCCAAATGAACTTTTAGCAACTGTACTTTTCGCAACTAATTCATTTGGTCAAATTATCATTTGGCCAAATTTTACTTGGCAAATGTTTATATAGCAAATGTTTTANGGGTGGAACACTGAAATAACGAGATGCCATCGACTTTGAAGCTTGCTGCATTACACGGCTATGAAGCTGGCTGGCTTTCCAGTCATAAGCAAAGTTTTCACCCATAACACCAGCAGGTAAGTCTGGGTTGTTGCTTGGGCTGCTGAATGCTTCAGTTGCAAGTAAGAAGACTTTAGCCATATCGGGTTTAATGCTTTGAGGGATAGAGTCGAAAAACTCATATCCTGTCATTGCTTGAACCATTTCTTCACTACTATGATTAAACCCAGCATGAATAAGCTTACGTGCAACGCCAAGTAAGTGTTCATCAAACTGTCGGATTGCGCCAAAATCAAGCAGAACGATTTTATCCAAGATGTCATTGCCATTGCCTAAGCGAACGAGGTAATTACCAAAGTTCGGGTCGGTCTGCATTTCACCCCATTCAAAAATCTCGCGTACCGCAATTTCAAGTGATGCTTCACCAAGTTTGTTGCGACGTTCTTGCGGCAGAGATAGCATGACAGGGCTGTTAATCGGCACGCCACGCTCAAATGTCATACACAATACTTGGTCTGTGCAGTAGCCATCTATAATTTGCGGCACGATGTAGCGTGGGTCTTCTTTTAAGCGAGCAGCAAAGCGGCGTGTGGTTGCGGCCTCAATTTTATAATTGACTTCACGGTGCATCATCTCACGAACTTCATCGAACCATTGGTCGAACTCGCGTGTTTGCGGCACCATACGTGTCAGTTTAAGCATGTTTTTGAACAGGCTCATGTCTGAGTCAATGGCTTCAGCAACGCCAGGATATTGAATTTTCAATACCATCTCTAAACCATCAGACTTACGCGTTGCACGGTGGACTTGTGCCAGTGATGCAGTGCCCAGTGGCTCATGATCGATTGTTAAATCATCTAGCTTAGAACCCAACTGGCTGTGTAGTTGCTGTTTTATCGCAGGCCACGCTAAAGCGACTGTTTGGTTATTTAAAGTATTTAAGGCTTGCGTGATTTCTTCAGGTAGAAAGTGTTCACCATAAAGCGCCATCATTTGGCCAATTTTGACGATAGAACCTTTAAGTTTACCTATTTCAGAAACAAGATAATCGGCCTGTTCTTTCATTGCTTTTTTGCGTTTCTTTTCTTTTTCTTCTTCGCTAGAAAACATAGTTGTCGCATTAGAAGCAGCCCAACGTGTTCCAGCAAGCAACGAAGCTTTGGCAATCGATAAACGACGATCCATAGAGGAGGTTTTCAGTTGTTTAAGCTTATCGTTGTGATCTGACATAATTCAGTAAAATCCTTTCATCAGCAAGGGCAGCATTTTAGATTGTAACGGATAATATCGTGTATTCACGTATTAAAAAAGTTCAACTTGCTGAATCTCGCGTTAAAAAAGGCCATAAGTGTTAAGCAACCATCTAAATACAGCCTAATCGGGATTGTTACATACGAAATTTTACTTTAAGTGTGTTTTTCTGAATCAATTCATCTTTATGCGTTTGTATGTGTTGCAGGATCATCTCTTGTACCGGTTGGTGCATAAATCCATGTGCATAACCTTTAACAATGATGATGCTCGGCAGACTAAAAAAAAAGTATCGAGCATCTTCAATGGTTGCACATTCATAGATCCCTTGCTGCTGTAACAGCTTTTGGAAATAGGCTTTTTCAGTGTCGACATGATTGTTTTCGGTGTCATTCCAATAGCGTTCACGCATCGCCATTAAGTTGTTGTGTTTATAACTCATAAGTTTGGGGAATATTGGCAGAAGAACTCACTTTATAATAAGGCTGTTTGATCAGGTTTCAATGCAAAGCCTGTGACTTCATGTAAAAGCTGTGAGGTGGAAATTTTATAGGGGGGCTAGTATGTTCATACAAAATAGGATGCTATATTAAAGCGCTACAGCACGCAGATGCTGTGAATGCCTAGATTAAAAAATCAATGAAGAAAATTTGCTTTGGGGAAAGGAATTGAAACAAATATTTAGTGCGTTGCTTGTTGTGGGATTATTTAGTGGTTCAGCCTATGCAATGGGCCCAACTAAAAAATATGAAGCATGCATGAAGCAAACTGGCAATGTGTTGAGTGAAATTGATGCATGCATGAGTAAAGAATATAAAGCACAAAAGAAACGCTTAAAGAAAGTATTTAAGCCGTATATGGCGAAGGCTCCTGTAGAAGAGCAAGGATTGGTTAAACAGTCTCATCAGCAATGGCTAGTGCAGCGTGATCAGATTTGTAATAACAAACCTATCGTGAAAAATGAAAAGACTGAATTACAGCGTATTTCGTGTCTGATGCAAATGACGCAAACCCGTGCAGATATGTATGAAGCACGTACAGGCCGTATAAGCAAATAAGCGCAAAGCGTATGAAAATGTGTTTGCTGTGCATCAAAACATTATAAATCATAGAAAAACAGGGTATCATAAGGCGTTTTTATTATGACCTTGGAGACGCCTTTAGTGGATCGCCCGACTATTAGCCCTGAACATATACAGGAAGCCGCTGAAAACTTAAGCACAATTCGTGATTTTATCCGTTTTGGAGTGACAGCATTACGTCAATACGATGCACATTTAGGTCAAGGTACAGAAGACTATTTTGCTGAAAGTTCAGCGTTGGTGTTACAGACTTTATCTTTAGATTGGAATGCGGATGCTGAAATCTTAGAGTCGAAGCTACTACCAAGCGAAAAGACAGAAGTTTTAAGCTTATTAGAACGTCGTATTAATGAAAAAGTACCGACTTCATATTTGCTTAATTTGGCATATTTTGATGGCAAGCCATATTATGTCGATGAACGTGTACTGATTCCACGTTCACCGATTGCAGAATTGATTCAAAACCGTTTTGCGCCTTATTGCTTAGGTGAAAATGGCCAAATGGGTGAGGCAGTCAATAACTTGCCAGAAAACCCGAATCCAAAAACGCCACAACGTATTTTAGATATGTGTACGGGTTCTGGTTGTATCGCGATTGCTTTAGCTTATGCGTACCCAGATGCCGAAGTAGATGCAACAGATATTTCTAAAGAAGCTTTAGAAGTGGCTCAAATTAACTCGGAACACCACGACAAACAGTATCAAGTGGCTTTACTTGAGTCCGACTTGTTCTCCAAAATTCCTGCTGAAAATCAATACGATCTTATCGTGTCGAATCCCCCTTATGTGGATGCTGAAGACATGGCAGATTTACCTGAAGAATTCCATCATGAGCCAGAATTGGCACTGGCGGCAGGTCAGGATGGCTTAGATTTGGTTCGTAAAATGTTAGCTCAAGCGCCAGATTACTTAACTGAAGATGGTCTCATCGTGATTGAAGTGGGTAATTCTGATAATTCCTGGCAATAAGTGGTGACTGAGTTTGTTCCGGCGTTTCTTCTCAGCACTTGCCATATGTTTGTCTCGAAGCGCTGGTAGGGCCCAAAAGATAAGGAGACATGTAAAGTGCCCCATAAGGGCTACCTTTTTCTTTTTTTATTATTTTCTATTGACGTTCATAAGTGCCACTTGTGGTCTAAACTGAATAAATATTTTTGATTTTGATTTTGATTTTGATTTTGATATAAAACGCTTCAATAATAATTGGCAATTTTTTTTTGTAGTCTAGACGATATTACTTTTTTGCATCACTCTACAACAATTTTATTGCAGCTTTACCTAATTTTGAATTCGAAAGTGGTAAGGATAAATTACGGTACCTATTTTAAGTTTTGCAGTAGCAATTCCAGAGAGTGGTCTTATTCTACCCTCAATTCCAATCCCGTGGGGGTTGGGCAGAGTAGAATAATTAATTTGATATTGTTACGAGACTATTCCCACCTCTCGCTGCAACTCCTGTGTAGCCTGGATCTATAGCTTGACCGCCAGTAAAAACCAAACCAGTGAAGGTCAAGTTTATCCCGGGGGATAGTGGTGATAGGGGTACCTACTGAAGATACTGACCAATCCAGGACTCGAGGGCCTGGTCCACGGGTATCTCCGAGTCTGGTTTACGAAGCTGCACCACCAGGCCGGAGGTGTAGGCCATGATCAGTGTGGAGGAGGCCATGTGGACCGACGCTCCTGTGGTCACGAAGCACTGGAAACGAAGGGATTCTAATTTAGTAATGCTTGAACCATAACAACGCGTTGGTATGGTTTATATGTTATGGTTGGTATGGTTGGTTGGTATGGTATGGTGGTGGTTTGCACGCATTGCAACGCGTGCAGATGGCCATGACAATCATGACAGTGTGTTTGAATCTTAACTGTGTAGGTAAGTAAAATTCTTACAATGGAGAATCACTGATCTCAACGCAACATTTTCTATTCTCTTTTTTTGTTGTAAGGAAATGCAAAAGCTTAAAAACTTAGACCCATATGTAAAACTTTGTAGTAGGATCGTATAGAAAGCACATATGTTAACATGTCAACTGACGAACTGTCGGTGATAAGTCATGAATAATGAATTGAAAAAGACGATTTATTTAACTTTAGTGACAGTAAAGTTCTCCCATTTACAATTTTGCAACAAAAAAAGGGCAATATCCTAGTACTAAGTAATCCTACTAATATTATAAATGCGAAAGTTTGTGTGGATGTCTGGATGTTTGTTACTCTTTCACGCAAAAACTACTGAACGGATTTTTACATGCATACTATAGTAAAACCCATTTTAAAAGCCCTAATTATTACAGTCACAAATTATACTTAAGTAACGCCTGATACTGTTAATTATATTAAATTATAACTTGTACTGAACTAAGTGCTTCAGCACAAATAATTTCCGGTTTTTAAATTTTGTCAAATGGTAATTTAATTAGCAAGAGATAAATACTATACACATCCCTAATTTAAAATACAATACCAGTTTCATTAAATTACCTACTTTCTTAATCTTTGTTTAGAGACAAGCGTCTTCGATTGTCAAACAAATTAAGAATAGGATAAAAAACAGTTTAAAAACATACTCTTAGGTAGGCTCGTACTATTGTTATACTTACAAAACACCTCTATTTCACAGAATATTTTGCATATATTACAAGCGAGCAGATGGATCCAAGTCATCAAGAATTTTTTGAAATAATATGGATTTCTGCGTGAAATCAACATTAAAATGACAAAGAATTTGTTGTAGTGTCTCGTTTTTCAGACGTCACTGGTTAGATTTTTAAAATAAAATATTCTTTTTCAATTTCGTACCTACAATTGAAAAATTTATAAACGTCAGAAATTAGATAGTAAAGTAGTAATTTGCATTAATTCATAATTTGTTTAAAACTAATGGTTAAGAAGGCTTGTTGATATTTTATGAAATAACTAGCTTTCCGCCCGCGGCTTCGCCCGCGTTGAATTTTGTCTGTCACAGAAAAACTTTATCGCGCGCGTCCCTGTTTCAAAAACCGGGATAAAAACTATCCTATGTTCTTTCCCGGGACTCAAACTATCTCTATGCCAAATTTCATCAAAATCGGTTGCGAGGTTTAAGCGGGAAAGCGTAACAGACAGACAGACAGACAGAGTTACCTTCGCATTTATAATATTAGTTGGGATTAAGCATATCGTGGCCTACAATTAAGTATTTTTTATTAATGTTGAGGCATATACTTTTTTGAATGTCCTTAAATAAATAAATATACCTAAATAGGCTCTACATCAAGTTTTACCATGACAATAATTGTTAATCATGACCCTTCTTAGAAGTTCAATTTATCTCTACGTAACAAAATTTTGGACAAAAGGTGGACCGACGACATCATAAAGGTAGCAGGAAAGCGCTGGACGCTAACGAAATTATTTAATGCTGTAATTTAATTAGGCCCTAAACCCAAGACTATTTTTTGCCGAAAAAAATATCTGAATACTGAATATAAAATACTTATGTAAATACGAACATTCTATGAAAATACTGATAAATGGTCGTAGTTTAATAATCTCGTGGGTAGAAGTGTAAAATGAGGCAATCTACTTTTCCAAATCTTGCTCTACATTTATCTTTTTTTTTTTTTTTTTTTATGCTAGCCAAGGCAGGTATTTGACCGCAATCGCACCTGGTGTTAAGTGAGATGCAGTCTAGGATGGTACATATCTGCCCTGTAAGTGCCTATTCACTCTCGCCTTGAAAACGCCCGGATTATAGTGTTCAGGAAATACAGCAGCAGGCAGCGAATTCCAGTCCCTAGCTGTTCGCATTATAAAGGAGTCGTCGAAACGCTTAGTGCGAGCTGGTGGAATGTCGACAATGTAGGGATGGTACGCTAGCCTGCGTCTGGTTCCCCGGTGATGGAAAGGGGCTGGTGGAATTAAGTTATATAATTCCTTCGCACATTCTCCGAAGTGTAGCCTGTAGAAAACCGTTAGAGAAGCAACTTTACGGCGGTGGTCAAGTTCCTGGAGCGACGCTTCAACAAGGGTCGGGCTGTCGATTAGTCTCCTGGCACGCCTTTCCACCGAATCCAAAGCAGCCAAATATTTCTTGGCAGAGCCGTCCCAGAGGTGGCAGCAGTATTCCATGCAAGGTCGGATCTGTGCTTTATATAACTGCAGCCTTTGCTTATTGGAGAAGTACTGCCTTGCCCTCGAGAGGATACCAAGTTTTTTGGCAGCAGTTTTCGCTATGGATTCGATGTACTCGCCAAAGTTCAACTTGCTGGACATTTCGATACCCAAAAGTTGGAGTCGCTCGGTGATTTTAACAGGCACACCTCGGAATGTTGGAGCCAGACGAAATGGACTTCGTTTGGCGGAGAACAGACACGCCTGTGTTTTGGACGCGTTAAATTGGACCAGATTGGCATCGCCCCAATCAGAGACATCCTGAAGGGCCAAATTCAAGCGTTCGATCCGCTGGCTTTTGCGCTGGAAAGATATTTGGCTGTCACTGTTGTGTCATCTGCATACCCAAAGGTACCGGGTTTGAGCAGATCATTGATGTGCAGTAGAAACAGTGTTGCAGACAGCACCGATCCTTGAGGGACGCCAGCGTCAATAGGTTGCTGACTAGAAGTGTAGCCCTCAAGGACTACTCTTATTGATCGTCCCACAAGGAAATCGGAGATCCATTTGCATAAGCCAGCAGGGATTCCAAAAGATGGAAGCTTGTTTATTAGGCCAGACTGCCGTGCCGGTCGGAACGGCAAGGGCTTCTCCGTGTTTCTCAATGGCCTCGCTCCATAAGTGTGTGGCATACACGAGAAGATCGCCTGTAGAACGACCATACCGAAACCCATACTGACGGTCGCTAAGTAGGTCATTTTCTTCAAGGTATGACAGGAGTCGGCCATTGAGGACACGTTCCATTATCTTGCAGAGTATGGACGTAACAGAGATGGGTCTATAATTTGTTGGGTCAGCACGACTGCCCTTTTTAGGTACGGGCTGTACGTTTGCAAGCTTCCATGATCTAGGGACTAGTCCAGTCTCAGTCAGAGTCGATACAGGCGTGTCAGAATAGGAGAAATCTTTAATTTAACTATCTAAATGTAATGTAAATGTAAATAAGGGACGTCTTTTACTTACTTGTTTCACAAAAGGCGATACCATTTTGACATGGTGACTTCAACACCACCATTTTCACACTAATATTTTGATCTTGAAACGTTTTCAATGAACAATACTACAAAGATAATTCGTCTGTTTGTACGTATGAATTTTACATAAATTATATTAACTAAATTAAGTAAGTACGAGTACCTACTAATTTTGATAACATTCTAAGCCTTATTTTATTTAAATGATCAATTAATTCATTCTAAAATTAGCAATTGAGTAGGTACAAAGAGTATCTACATGGTTAAGCCTAGGCGCAGACCACCGATTTTTAGGTGGCTGATATGGGCCCGATTTTAATTTGTATAAAGAATCGGTCGATACCAAATCGGAGTAATGTGCGCACTTTCATTTCATATCATGTCCTTATTGATTAACAGCCCGACCCAACTATCGGCCGACAAAAAGGCTGTGGTCTGCGCTTAGGCTAAAATTACGGGTGATTTTTGTTAATAATTAAAATTTATTATTTTGGGGCGAGACCTTTGACTTTGCCCTGCAATGGGCTATTTAAATACCTGAAAAAACTTACTTTTCTTGCCTTCACTGTCATCATCATCATCATCTCAGCCATAGGACGTCCACTGCTGAACATAGGCCTCCGCCAATGCTTTCCATGTTTCCCGGTTGGTAGCGGCCTGCGTCCAGCGCCTTCCTGCTACCTTTATGATGTCGTCGGTCCACCTTGCCTTCACTGACTTCCTCCAAGCCGTTTGATCAGCTTGAGGAGTAGGCCTTTGCCTCTGGAAAGTTGGGCAGCTAGGTTCTGGAGTGGAGGCCTCGTACCGGAAAGCGCAGCGTAGGACGTCCACCCACAAGGTGCAACGACGACCTTATAAAGGTAGCAGGAAGGCGCTGAATGCAGGCCTCCACTAACCGGCCATTGTGGAAATCATTGGGGCAGACCTATGTTCAGCAGTGGACGTCCTATTCCTATGGCTGAAATGATGATGATAAAGTTAGACAAGGCCGTACTCTTGCAGTGCAGACTAGATGGCCTGATGATGATGATGATGAACCGTAAACGTAAAGTTGACAGATGGTATTTTTTAAAGAAGCAAAGTCACATGTAACCCTAGTCTTCCTACTACAATAACATTAAAGTGAGACGAATAGTTCTGTTCTGGTAATTTTACTATTATCTGTAAAACGGCATCTATTGTAAGCGTCTTAGAATTCAAAATACAGCGGTGTTGGTATTGTAAACAGCTATTCTGATTAGTTACACATTAATTGTGATGTATGCGAAGTAAGGTCAAAGCACCAATGATTGACATTATCAATTTTAGAGAAAAGTAAAAAACACCCATAAACACTCGTAAAAAAAAACAAATTTTTGGCACCAGCGTAGACTATCCTACAGAAAAGGTACCGTTTTAAGCAGCTGTTTTATGAAAAAAAATATTGAAAAAATTGGCTTTTTGTAAATCCACTATTAGTAAGGTTTAACAATTAATGCCTACTGAAAACGTTTGTGGAATAAAATCATACGAAATAAATATTATGATAATGTTTGTCACGACATTCTTAGGGTCACCTCACATGGGCATCACGCTACAGCCACAAACAACGCCACAAAAAGCTAGAAGCGGCTGCAAATGTAGCTAAAGCGCGCGATGGCCACTACTTGTGGCCGGTGGTGCATGGCGGTTACTTTTTAAACCCATGCAGGTTCACTGAGGCAAAATCAAAATTATCTTTATTCATATAGTCTAACTAAACAAATCGTCAAATTAACAACAAAACTTAAGGAGCCTATACATCAGGGGTGGTCGATCGCGACTATTAGTCCATCGATCGTAGCAAGGCAAAAAATACTACATGATTGTGTACTAAACTATGCTGTTTCATTTAAGATTTCAAGAAGTATGTAAGTGGTAGATCGCCCAGGGTTTTGTTAGTAAACAGTAGATCTTATGTCTAATCAAGTTGGCCACCCCTGCTATACATGTCTCATTCTTTTATTGCCCTACCAGCGTAGCCACAAAATATCATATTATGGAGAAAGAGGTATGACGGCCACCAGCGTCAACCATGTTCAGCGAGTCCATATAAGTATGTAAACTATAGGAAACCTGTGGCGGCGTTTTGTGGCTGTGGCGTGAAGCCGTGTGCGGCGACCCTTATGTATACCGTAGTCGCAAAATATCTTATAAACCGTAGTCGCAAAATATCTATAAAATAAAATACAATAGAAACTTTAATTATTTTACTGTATTTTCTTCATATAGGCCAGTCGTATTTATTTAAATAACATATAAAAATATCCTTGGGACATACACTAAAGAAACATGTGCATGATTGGTACATTTACTTTCTTGCCAATACCAATTAGGTAATTTTAAATCTGCGATGATGAGATGAGTGTGGAAGATGTCACGTCACAAGCAACAAACACGTGTATCGCCATTTTTAAAGCAAGTAAGTAACTATACGAGTAGCTATTGCACTAGATTAATTAGGAAAAACCTGGCATATCAGACTACATTTTGTCTCAAAATAGGTGCCTATACCGAAAATTCCATGTTTCCAGTTTCCATCCCCCTGGATGGAAACTGGAAACATGGAATTTTCGGAGATTATTTTATTTAGTAATCTACTATTATATTAATGTTGTTTGATAGAGCTCGTGAAGCCCTTTCAGGACCCAGTAAACAGTTTTCCGATATCTTGTATTAGTTTAGAAATAAATCGATGACACTTATCGTTTCCACCACCCTGTATATACAAGATTCTACGTGTTTATACGGAAGTGTTGTCGTCTGTACCTAATTGTTGAACAAAGCCGTCTTTAATTTATGTGTGCAGTTTGTTTTCATTTTTTTCTGAAACGAGTTTTACATCTTCATGTAAAATGAATGCATGCTCTTTAGCATAAAGTATCTGACTTTTATCAGACTCATTTACATGGGTTTTAAGCAGTCACAGAATTCCAAATAGTTTCGTCTCTTGAATTTTAACAAGTATTCATTCATAATAAAAACTGATAAGTAGTTACTTACACGTTAAATATACAGGATGGAAACGATAAGTGATCTCACTAGATTATTTAAAAACTATATGACGAGATCGAAAAACTGGTTACTGATCCTGAAAGTGCTTGACAATCTCTTTCAAACGGTATCAATAATAGGTCACAGAATAAACTGGATCTATCCGAAAATTCAATGTTTCCGAATAATCGAGTGAAACCACTTATCGTTTCCACCCTGTATGTTAAGAGTAAATTTTCAGTACTGGACTGAAGACTAGCCACCGCTGGACTTAGACCTCATTCTTGTCCTTTGAACTCATTCGTGACGTTGTAAAGGCTGTCAAATTCTGTTGTTTTGTATCGTAACTCTTTCTCAATTAAAAGCATAAAGTAACCTTTATGCTCCACCAGCTACTTAGTCTAATTTCTGCTCACCACCCAACTAATCTTGAACCAAAGTTTGAATGAATGACAGAAACTTCGCCTATTTGTACCCTGTTCTATATGCAGTGTTTCGTAACATTCGGGGCATCGGTGAACATGGGCGGCGCGACAATGGTGCTGGCCTACTCCACCGGACTGGTGCTGCAGCTCCGGAGACCTGGCTCCGAGATCCCTGTCAGCATCGCCGAGGAGTCCTGGATTGGTAAGAATAGGTTTTTGGTCGATAGGTCTACTCCTGCAACTCCTGGCATCTCCATTATATGCCATGATATATGTATAGGATGTACCTTCTCTTTATTCTTCTACGTGTAAGCGGAAACAAAAGGCTATTCTCATAGACATACTGAGCTGTGCTATACAGGGTTCAATCGGATCGATGGATTAAGGTCTTCGGTCCGTAGCAAGAAATATTAGGACTTCTTTTCCGACAGAGACAATCTATCTGAAATATTAAGACCTTATTCACTGCTCTTCCTCATTCTGCTACACCAATTTCATCTTTTTAATTTCTACCGTGTGTGAAATAACTACTTTTACAAAATAATAATCCAAAAACAATTTCTTTTCAGCCGCTATGCCAGCTGTATTCAGCTTACTAGGAAGCTGTTTGACAGCCATGGGGATGTCTCTGATCGGCCGCAGGTACACTCAGATCGCGAGCATCATTGTCGTGATCGTCGGCTGGCTTTTCATCGTATTCGCAAAGGACATCACTGTCATTCTCGTAGGACGCTTCTTCCACGGCATAGCAATGGGAGCCAGCATGCTATTGACTCCTATAATAAACGCTGAATACTCCAGCCCAAAATATCGAGGAACGTTTATGCCGGTCGCGAGTTTGCTGGCATCTCTTAACGTATTGATCTCACACAGCACTGCATTGTACTTGAGCTGGAGGACGAACGCTATAATTTGTACTGCCATAGCTATAGCCAATTTACTGATAGCTGTATGCTCTCCAGAATCTCCAAGTTGGTTAGCAGCTAGACGAAGGTACGATGACTGCAGACATGCCTTCCGGTGGCTGCGAGGTGACGACGAAGAAGAAGAATTGACCAATATGATCGACGCATGTGAAATGCTACACAAATCAAAAATAGAAAACGGCAAAGCTTCAAATATGACTATCGGAAAGAAGATTGCTGAGTTCAAAACGATAATGATGAAGAAGGAATTCTACAAACCAGTATTAATAATGTTTCACGTGTACACGGCGGGGTTATGGGCGGCAAGTTGGATTCTGTCAACATTCGTGTTTGATCTCATCCCTAGTGTGGTGGGGGAAGGTTACAATCACCACGCTCTGGGTTTGAATATCCACAGATTTGTAGGAGGTGTTGTAGCTATTTATTTCATAACGAAAATTAGAAGAAGAGTTTTATTTCTGGTGGTATCTGCTTTGACAGTGATAATTTTACTAGCCACTGCAGCGTTTACTTATGCAAAATCAATAGGCGTTTTGACGTCTGATTTACCAGCTTTAGGATTATTTTTACTGCATTTACACACGGTCGTTTTAGCTATTTGTATGATGCCTTTGCCGTTTATCATAGGTGGAGAAATATTCCCTTTGAGGTACAAAAGTTTTGGGAGTGGTGTGAGCAGCACATTCTTTTTTGTAGGCACAGCGATTCTGCTCAAGTCGTTCCCGTTTCTATTAAACAGCGTAGGAGTCCATGGAACATACACCATATATTCCTGTATAATATTATATTGTTTAGTGATATTGTATTTCTATTTACCGGAAACTAAAGATAAGACTTTGCAAGAGATAGAAGAAGAAATGATAGGCAAACCTTGCAGCTCGGACGAAATGAAATCAGTTCAGCAGACGTTATTAAATGAACCTGTAATCAACGAATAGTTATAGGTTAACTAGACTGATTAAATAATTTTCATGATATTGTCTTTTTGTTTGGTTCCTATTTAAATAATTTAGTATTAAATTCTTTTCACGTTCCTAAAGTGTACGTACAACTCGATCAAGAGAGAATATTCAGTTAAATCTTGTTACAGATGAACTACATTGAATCGCTTGTTCCGATTTTTGCCATGTTGGAAACTATGAAGTTGAACGATGGTGGCACCCACTTCTCAATGTGTTGCGTGGGACGGTTCAGTGTAGTTCATCTAAATTTTTTTTGACTTCAGAGAGTCGTTAGTTCAATGTTTGCTCCATAGATATTTATCAAAAAATCTGTTGTCAAGTTACAAGATGTAGCCTCTTTCTTTGGAACAATGACATCTTAGGGTCATTCCACCGGCCACGAAAATCACGTGTCCGGGGCCAAAAAGTACCCGAATATCATAATATTTTAGTAACAAATATTTTTATCTAATAGTATAACTTTGGTTCTTGTTGTTAAACCACAGAGATAGTTAATAATAGTTAATTAAGTAATTTAAAAAAAATCGTAAGTCGTCAAAAATTGATTACCACGACGTGTCCGCGCTCCCGATTTCAGAACAAATTTGCTCGTATAAATTAATCCGTTATTATTACCGCTTTCAATGCTTATGTAATCGATTACTGATTAAATAAACATTGATAAATTAAATACGATATAACTATATGACTAAAAGGTTTTGTAAAATAACTATTTGAAGTTGTGTCCGGGCGTTAACCGTGATTACCCCGACACGTCACTAATGTGCGCCTACGTCCCTAGCTACGCAATTTAGAAACGAGCTCTATCCTCCCCCGTGAACCTTTAGTGGTGGCCTGCGTGCCGAGGTGATCGGTAATGCAACTCGTCGCAGGATTTCGGAGTTATCGAGATAAGAATATGATTACCCCGACCTTGGTTCAGTGCACGATTGATTTACTCTATCCTGTTTTTTTAGGTTTCTTTACATGGAAAGTTCTTGAGAATGTACAGGAATAATGGTCCATGTAACCGCATTTTTGTGTATTAAAACATATGGGATTCAACTTACAGATTGGGCAGGGCTCAGGATAAACCTTAATTTTTTGACTACCCCGACCTTGATTACCCCGACTTTTGTCACCGAGTAATCAATAATACTGTAATTTTACTAATGAATGATTAACTAAATAACGTTTAATAAGCAAAATTACCCTTTACTAAAATGAAATCCTATCTCCTATTAATACATAATATTATCCCTCAAAATTGGCAAGACCCCTGGACTCGACCTTATCACCGCTGAAATGCTGTAAGCCGATGTAAACTCCGCCGTTAACGTCCTGACACCTGTCTTCGAAAACATCTGGATGGAAGAGGAACTCCCAGACGACTGGCATAAGGGGCTTCTAATTATTGTGCCGAAAAAAGGGTAAAGCAAGGGTATCAGTACCGGAAGACCCAAGAGATGCGATCTGGAGTGAGGAATTGCACACCGTTGGTGCAGAGGATGTCCAACGAGTCCACAATTTCACTTACCTCGGGAGCATCGTTTCAGAGCCTGGAGGTACCGAAGAGGACATCACTTCGCGCATTGCCAAGGCCAGAGCTACCTTCGCACAACTTCGAGCCGTATGGCAGTCACGGAAATTGACCCAAGCAAGATCAAAATATTCGGGTCCAACGTCAAACCAGTTCTGCTCTATGGGCGGGCGTGAAACGTGGAAGGTCACTAAGGTTATCTCGCACCAGCTGCAGATCTTCTTCAGCCGCTGTCTTCGCCGAATTCTCCAAAATCTTCAAACGACGAACTTTTGGAACGCTGCCACGAAATACCGATCGTTCAGCAGAATAAACGCTGCAAGTGGAACTGGATTGGCCACACTCTCCGAAGGGACCCCGATCACATCCCCAAGCAGGCTCTAGATTGGAACCCCCAGGGAAAATGCAAACGTGGTCGCGCCAAAAAAACATAGCGGCGCACTGTTCAGACTTGGAGCGAGATCAAACGCCAAGCTCAAGACCGAATGCGATGGAGGACTGTTGTGGATGCCTTCTGTCCTATATAGGAGACATAGGACATTGAGTCACTAATATTATATGTATAATGTATATTATGTATGTTTTTTACTCTTTTACGCAACAACTACTTAACAAATTTTGTTGAAACTTTACAATATTGTCGTTTATACATCAAAATAACAAATGGCTAGTTATAATAACATTTATTTTACCATAACTTAAAAAAAACCTTAGAAAATAAAATATTTTGTTTTATTTTTGATTACTCTGACTCCCAACTTTGATTACCCCGACCATGAAAATTTTGATGTCGCATAACTTTTTATTCCTGCTTGCTACATATGGGCCAATATAAAAAATATGCTCGTAATAATGTGTATTTTGAAATGTTTTACCTAAACTTACTCTAAATTCAAAAATAAAAAAGGTCGGGGTAATCAACAAAATAATCCAGATCCGGAGAATGACCGCTTAAGAGTATTCATAATTATGCAGCGTCTTTGTCTAGAAATTCCATTGTAAATTGTTTCAATGGAACACTATCGTGTATGGCAACAATAATGTACCAAGTATTAGTAGGTACCCTAAGTACCTAACTCATTAAGTTCATCAAACTTTTCTTAGGTACATATTATCTAAATATACTAGATGTTACCAATCCGTGCGATGTGGGAATCTTTGGGGGAGGCCTATGTTCAGCAGTGGACGTCCTGTGGCTGAAATGATGATGACTAGATGTTGGTTTTCAGCATAATCCCTCATATGTACCTATGTGAATATTTTTATGAATAAGTGGTTCTTTGAAGTGTATTGGTACCTTAAAATAAATATATGCATAATTCAATGTGATAGTAGGTGCGATTTTACAAAAGTGAAGGAATTTTGAATAACACATTTTAAACATCTGACAATCGCATTTTAGGTTTATTTACGTTTATTATTTCAACCTAACTAGAATAAGTTATTCATTAGAATATCACAATAATTTGTCAAATTATTTTATTATTGTCACATAGTATGAGTATCACAATATCAATAAACATATTTTGTCTTAACTTATTTGATCCCTTCTCATAACGCAATTATTACTAAGAAATATTAACAATCAAAACAAAATATACTACTAAGTTTGTACTAAAATATTAATTAAATAGTCAATAATTAAAATAAGTAAGTACCCTAAAATAACCGCCTAAGCACGTACGCACAGCAATGTTTTTGATAAACTCTACAGTTTACAAATCATATCTTTCAGTGCGGTTCCTCTTTGTAAGGAGTTATTGAAATGTTCTCGTAAAAGCTTATTTCTGCTAAAAAGTCGTTTACGTTCATTCATTGACATGATGTTTATTTCAATATGTGTTTATATTTACAGAAAAAATGATAAAATCACAAAAAGCTACATAGGTAAATAGTAGAGAAAGAGTCACTTTTTAAAACCTTTTATATCAAATCGTCATTGATTTTGGCATAAATTGTGCTTTATTTACATGTTGTTTAAAACATTGAAATCAACATCATGTAGTAGACGTCTTGTACTAAATAGTTTCAAATTAAATCTGTGTATACCTAATAAATATTCGATAAACCTTATTTGTAGAATTCGAATAAGTTACTTTTTCATGTCCAAAGATAACTTACATACAATGTTATTGTTAACAATATCAACAATAACTTAATACTTAAGTATAGCACCAAAACGCTAACTTGACTTACTCCAAATCCTTGACCAATCACCATTAAATTACAGGACTACTGCACCTCCTATCTCTATTATAGAGCTTCATCGAAGTCAGCGATTGCACCGACTTCATCTCCTCAGGAGACAGTGGTCTTCCTCTGAACTCATCCTCAATATCCTGAAGAGTCCTATCTTTCGTCTCGGGCAGAAAGATTCCTGCCATGATAAGGCAGTACCCAACAACTGCTGAATAAAGTAGATACGCTCCAGATAGACCCACGCTGCTTAAAAGCAAAGGCAGCGTCTTCACAGTGATGAAAAGGTTCGAAGAGAGGAACAACACACTGATCCCTCCAGCCAGACTTCTGTATTCCAGCGGGAACAGCTCTCCAGCAATGATAAAAGGCAATGGTACTGTCCCAGTTGCGATGGAGAACATGTGAACATGGATCAGGAAGATTCCAATGAATGGATGATTGAATGGGAGATTATAGTTGGCTTTTGCGTACACATACGCAGACGTGGATAGAAATGCGAATATGTTTATTCCAACAGTCGCGAAAAGCATTGTTCGTCTGTTAATCTTCTTAATAACAAACACGGCTACAGAATTAGAAATGATCCTTTGGATGTCCAAAGTGATGATCAGCAAGGATATGTTTGCGTCAGATCCTATCACATTTTCGAAGACGTCTCTCGTGTAAGCAGCCAGGATGTTCGCTCCAGCCCATTGACCTAACGTATAAATATGGACCATGATAAAAATGGGCTTGTAGAACTCCTTCTTCCTGATAGTAGCATTAAAATACGTCACGTTAGTCCTAAACTTCTTCATGAACGATTCGGATACATCAGCATCAATTTTGGATTCCTTAACAATTATGGCAGCTTCAATCATCTCTTTCAACTCCTCTTCTTCAACGTCACCTCGAAGCCATCTGAAGACTTTGCGACTTTCGTCATACCTTCCTTGGTCTGCCAACCAGCTGGGGGATTCTGGAGAGTAGATCACTATGATCAAGTCTACGAATGCTATGAAACAGCAGACGAGGGCTGTCTTCTGCCAACTTAAGAATGAACCCAGCGAGTGTACAATTAAAACTCCAGTGGCAATGGTCACGGATATGACGGTCAAGAAAGCTCCTCTGTTTTTGGGGCTGGTGTATTCGCCGATTAGTACTGGTCCGAGGGTGGCACTCATGCCCATGGAGATGCCTTGGAGGAATCTGGCGATGAGGAGAGAGGCCACGCTGTTTGCTGTGAGTACACATACCCACCCTACGATCATTGGCGTGATGCTGGCCAGGTTAGCAGTTCTCCTGCCGTACTTGGCCATTATTGTGGGCGCGATGAAGTTGCCGGCGACGAGCGCGAAGCCAAGGATCGATGCTGGAATGAAGGGAAGTGGAAATTATTTACATGGTTGAACTATACTAACACAAATCACAAATGGAAAATGAAGTTTTGTAAGAAGATGTTCACATTAAAACTTTGTAAAGGATCCAAAGTTATTCATCTTTTTAGAGGGTTTTAGAAAATCCTTTCAATATAATCTACGTTATAATAACTATTCTGTGAGCCTTTCAGACCAATCCACTCAGTGGTTAAAGCTGTGTGAGTCAGTCAGTAATCAGCCTTTTTTTAGCTACATAAATTATGCAGATGAAAAGTAGATTTGTATCAGTTCTGGCTCTTAAGCAGGGAGAGACAAACAAGCTGGTGCTCACCTATCCAAGAGCCCGAGGAGTCGTCAATAGGTATGAGGGAGTCAGGCAGCCGGAGCTGCGGCAACAAGATGGCCGCGAAGCCCATGACCAGGCCATGGCCGCCCAAGTTGAGGCACACCCCGGCCGAGACGAAGCACTGGAAATAGAAAAAGTATTTTATGTAGTGAGGTACCTATCGGAGGTATGTATGAAACCTATACCGCATTAACGCTGGCCCACATATTATTCTGAAGCAATGGTAGAGTTCAAGTAGTCTCCCAATGGGACGAAAAAACGCAAATGTAAAGACATTTACTTTTTATGAATTTGCTGTTAGATTTATGATAAAAGGTAGCATCGGGAACAATAAGTGGGAATACCCCATCTCCTGTGTAGCCAGGATCTAGGTACAGTCTGACCGCCAATAAAAACCTATCAGTGAAGGTCAAGCTGTTCACGGGAAAAAGTTAAACTGTCATTGGACCCGAAACAAAATTAGTCAGAAGAACATAGGTGTAGGAGAAGTTCGAGCTTAAAATGATTTAAGATTGACTGGCGCATCCATAAAATGCCCAAGGATTTTTTAGTATCAATTTATTTTTTAGGTTTATAATTAACTACTTTGAAATTAATTACACATGTTTTCACATTAATCCCAGTGAAAACTCAAATGCGCAAAAATTCTTCAATTAAGTTACATAATGCCTATAGCGGTATTTCTAAGAGGCTTCTGCCGTCAGCTCGTCGTATCTTATCAGATTGCTTTCGATAGTAGTCTCGTAAGTTATCTTATATTATAACAATAAAAGATAATACCTCTTATTCATAAAACTTTAAAACGTTTAAAGAAGCGTAAGTAAATAAATACTGTACGCATTCATGAAGTGTATTTACCATATTATTTAACATTTTTTTAATAATCTAGCTAGAACAGTGTTTTTCAACCTTTTCCATAACATTTTCCTTTTCCATAACATTTTCTGCCCCTACGGCTAAGATAGTTTTTTGGAACTGATAGCCATAGCCAACCACTCCCAGTTAGGTCAGTTTTAAGTTTAGAAATTCTGCGGACTTTAGGTCACCTACGAATCTCCTAATTTTTTGTTCAATAGGGGCTACATCAAGCATAGAACGCTCCATCGCCTTACTTTTAGGTTACTTGGATTCTCCTCAAATATTATGTGTTGGGGCAGAAAAGTTATCGAGTGGCGACCACGGGCTGGAAGACGTAGCGTGGACAGGCCTCCTACTAGATGGATCGACGATCTGGTAAAGGTCGCGGGAAGAGCCTGAATGCGGGCAGCGCAGGACCGTTCATTGTGGAAAACCTTGGGGGAGGCCTTTGTCCAGCAATGAACGTCATTTGGCTGAAACGAACGAACGAATGTGTTAGCTAGACCAATAAAAGCAATTAAAAACGTCATACCTACTGTGGAATTTTTCAAGTGGCTGTTGCACTTGTTGATCGTATCTACTATATCAGATTACCTTCGATAATGGTCACTATCAGCCTTGGACGAATAAACCACTGGACACGAAACCTACAAGATTTCTAAGGAAACACGATCAACCACTTTTTGCGGGGGGAGAGGTTTGACAATTGTCAAATAATGACATTTAGTGCTGGGAAAAGATCGTAAATTTTTATCGATAGTTATGTAAATGAATGAATGAATGAATCTAACGAGATAAATGAATCATGGATTGATTTAATATTGAAAGTTTCTTTAATTGAAAGACTATAATTAATAATTGTATCGTGTTTATTATAATGCCATTGGTAAATCATAGGTACAAATAATATTACAAATTATTCATATAGGTAGGTAACTAGGTGAAATATTTTTTGGCTGTGTTATCATTATCAAATTCGTAAAGCAATAAACAAGTAATATTCTGTTACGATCGACTGCTAACTAGCTTTTGGTCTCAACAAATGTTATAATCTGTCTCACGTCACGGACAAAAGTTTCATCAATAGCCTATTTCTATACATTTCATGAAACACAATTTGATAACATTATGACAATGTATTGCTTTGTAGCGCTTGCAGTACGGATGCACTATCTGAGAATATTTAATTCTTATCTAATGTTGTTGATATTCTTATGTTTAGGTCATTCGAGAAGACCTCCTAGTACTTATTTCAGTTTTGAAGACGTCGGTATATCCTAACTTCATTGATTCCAGAGCAATTTCGCGTTTCCGCTGTAAGCTGGATATTATCTTTGGTCGAAGATGTGTACACAGGGTACCTATCCTGTTGATGAGGGGTATTTCTTTTAGGGTTTTGTGCAGAATCGCGGAATATCCTGTCTCCTTGTTTTGCTTTCATAGATCGTTTCCTTTAAGTCTTAGAGTGGGTGCTTGTGCTTCCTCCTGAATAATGAGGTCTAAATGTCTGAGATTCAGAAAGAAGTCAAGTGATGCCGATAGAGTGGTTCTCATACAACCCATGGCCGCTATGTTTGCTAGGCACTATGCATGTTGTCGATATGACTTGCCCAGTTCAATTTATTGTCAAGGGAGATGCTCAGATATTTCACCTGTGTTGGTTTTGTTTTGAAAAGTTCAGTGGCCTAATTCACGTATCTTGACAGTCAAGATCTCTCTGATGTTCAGAAGTCGTCCCATTGAAAAACAGTTGATGACAGGATGGACCAAATCAAGTTCCAACCACCCCGGTATTTCACTAAACGTGAGGGGATGACACAGATCTAAAAGGTTCCACCTCGGTATTGCATACCGAAAATAAAACCTGTTAATGAAATAAAAAATAATAATTGTAGTCATTTGGCGTATTTTTGTGATGACATTATTAATATTTAGATGCAATGAAAAGTTTAAATTGTATGTTCCATCTGTGTGGATCTCATCATCTTTTGTTTCATGTGACTAAAATAAAGCCAAAAAATCAATCAACATCAAAAATATTTTATTCAAATTTGACCAGTATTTTGATGTACAACATATTTCAAAAAAGGTGTAATTATTACTTACATTTACTGGTGTGCTTGTTTTGTATGTTCCATCTATGTCTATCTCATAATCTTTTGTTTCATGTGACTAAAATTATCAAAACAAAAAAATCTATCAAAATCTAAAATTAATTTGAATAATTTCAGTTTCAGTTTGTTTGGTATATCGATAAACTTATCGACATTTTTCAAGCCCTTTACGTCATAAAAAATGAGATGTGAATGAATGAATGAAACCTATAATCCAACCAAATTAAATATGCTACATGTTTTAAGCATTTACATGTACAATGAGTACTTTTTAAAATGACGTAATCATATTTTGTTTACATATCAAATTTTATTTATTTTACGAAAAAATAGCTACTATAATAGATTTAAAATGTACTTACGCGTGATAAGAAACATTTCTTGTGTGACAGGAATAATTTTTGCAATAAAGTACGGCGCATTTACCCATTTTTCGTGATATTTTTACTCTTCGAGAGCTGGCGTCATACTGACAAAGTGACAACCTGACAACATTTACCATGGCTAATTTAGCCATGGTAAGTGCTAGCGGGGTAAAGACGAAAACGTCACTCGTTACGCGTCCAGTGGTTTATTCGTCCAAGCTATCAGCACAACAATTAAAGATAAAATAACATTGATCTACATAACACTTCCTTGTCCTTGACTTGTAATCCCTCGGGAATTTGCAGTGCGTATTGCGACTTGCATTGTATTTATTTATTTTGAATAGGTAAAAAATATCTTATGGGGACAGCAGAACATAAGTATAGGTTTAGCTTTAGAGCGGCACGAGGGTGTTTTGGGGGCGTCAAACGTCATAGTTGACGTGACAATAGTAACTGATTTTCTTGCGCTGCTTCTTCTCAGCATTGGCCCATTGTCCTGAAGCAGTGGTGGGGTTAATACTAGGACGTGTAAAAGTGCTTTTTTAAAGCCTATTTGCAGAAATAAATGAGTTATGAGTTTTCATAATATTTCAATGTCACCCCTCCCCTCCCTCTCAGGCACTGACTGAGTAAACCCAAGCGCTAGATCTATTCGAATTCATAAGCGATGTTTGATGAAACCGGTAACTCGAAAAAGTAAATTAAGTAAATCTTGTACAAGATTTACTACCTATCATTGTTTTGCTTGTGTAATGACTATGACCAGATCAATATCTTTACAGAGTCGGTCTTCAAAACGTTCCGGGATCAATTTAAAGTACAACCCGTCAAGTTAACTGCGCACTTGGTTGCCGTGACGTCACATCGACGCTCTGATACGGACGGGGCGAACGCAGAAAGGTGTGCGAGTGAGCGCGNTTACAAAGATAATACGATAGAGAATAATACAAAGTAATAAAAACCACCGGTTATAGGGGCATTTTTTGGAGAAATTTATCAAATAACCAAAAAAACACAAATTTTAAAGCGGATTTTGTTCAAAAAGTATCATTTTTTTATTATTTGTTGGCCTTTTTGTGTATTTTATGTATTTTTTTAGTATTGCCTGTTATTTAGTATTATTACTGTTTTTATTTTATCAAGATAATTACGTAGCCATACCCTTAGAAGATCGCTGAGGTTGCAGCCGCGCGCTCTGTATGAAAATACCTAAGTGTCGATATTGCAATTTGGCGCTGTGACGCAAATCTATTTCCTTTCAATATTGTTTAATTTAATTTGTCATTCCATAATCCGACTTCGATTAGGTTTCATCTCTTAGAAAGTAATTTCATGTAATTTTTTATTTCTTTTAATAAATTTNCGCATATCCCGGGCACGGGAGCGGTGCCTTACAACCACTGCCTCCCGCCCGTACAGATGGCTTGAAAACGCAGAAGTAAAACACGATAAAACTGTCTAGCTAGATCTGTACCTACAGGCAGGTTAAGCTACCATTATCTTATGACAAAGTTCTAACATTTCACTCATGCGAACTCACGATCATCATCATGTGTAAACTAAATACTAGACTTGGAATTTAAAAAATGGGAGAATCAAAGCAACCATTTATTGAACAGGTCACTGAGACAAAAAATAATCACGTTTGAGTGCTGATATTAATGAATGAAAATACATCAGTGAGAAAAACCAAAAAATGTACTTACTTTATGTTGCTGACTTCCTTCTCCAAATAAGTGACACAGTCGTCGAGAGGCGACTGCCTTGGAGACCAGGTGTGGTTCGATACTGGGGGCGGCGGCACAGGGTCTGTCTGCCGCGCGTGTGTAGGGGAGGTGGATGATCGAGACTGAAACACGAAGTTATTATGCACTTTATTTCTAGTACATATCTTTTATTTTTAGCAGCGTAGGACGTCCACCTACAAGGTGGACCGATGACCTCACAAAGGTAGTAAGAAGGCGCTGGATGCAGGCCGCCACCAACCGGCCATTGTAGAATTCATTGGGGGAGACCTATGTTCAGTAGTGGACGTCCTATGAATGAAATTAAGTATGATGATGATGATCTTTTATTTTTACTCGCATCCTCTTCTTTTTGTTTTTGTGTAGGGTATTATTACAGCCCAGCCTAGTGTAAGATTGTCCATCTTCCTTCAGAGTAAGAGTAGTAAATGTACCTTGCTATACTGCGGGCAGTCTTTGGCGTGTGTCTCCTTGTGCTTGCGCTGTATCCACGCGCCGCAGCGCAGCGGGCACTGCTCCAGGATACTACCGCATAGCTTCAAGTGGCTCTGAGAAGGGTACGAAAGCATTATAAATAGAAATATACGATTTACGATGGACCGACGACATCGTAAAGGTAGCAGGGAAGCGCTGGATGCAGGCCGCTACCAATCGATCAACGTGGAAAGCATTAGGGAAGGCCTATGTTCAGCAGTGGACGTCCTATACTTAGCTGAAATGATGATGATGTGATGATACGATTTTTGTCTTTAAGATGTTAGCTGGTTCGGTTTCAGCTCGGCGACATCAGCGACCAAGATGTAGGATTTGGCCATAGAAAGGTTGCAGTGGTGGAAATGAGAGGTTTGATTAGTAGTAAGATGTCAAGCCATAAGACATTTAATGGTCTGATCTGTAGTTTTTTCCAGTCCCATCATATTTCTGCTCTAGGAATAATGAATTTATTTTTTTCTGCTCAACGATATTTTTTTCAAACGGATCATCTAGCAAAAATATTGATGATTGGTTAACCTTGGATCAGATAACACATTCCACGGCTGATAATACAATCGCACTGAAGCCGATACAACAACATAATCTGCGATGAGCGATTGAATTAGATGTTAGGAACTAGAGATGAAACGGATAGTTGTTTGGCCGGATACCGGATACCGGATATCCGGCCAGCTGTTAGGCCGGATAGCCGGATATCCGGCGGCCGGATAGTTGGCCCATTGTCTCGTTTCATGTCGTGACGAGTTTAGCGCCGCACAGGTGCTTCGAAAGCGATCAGTGGGTCTATTAGTAGACTAGACTAGTCACACTTTTCGAAAATCGAATCTGTCAGAATAGAATGTCAGATTTTGCCACTTGTCTAGGGTGCAGATCAATTCGAGCGATTTCGTTTGCTATCGTGAGTGTGTGATTGAATAGCGAAAATTAAATTAGTTTACTTGCTGCGTAATCTGACTGAACTATATGCATCATGTCATCAAACCATCAGTGAAAAAAAGATCGCCTTTTTTATTTGGCAATATTTCGACATTAACAGATATTATTTACTACAGGGTGGCCCAGAAGAAAATTCACTTTTGAAAATTTAATGAAACGAAAACTGTACATTTTTGTAGAACTTTAACTATTGCAATTTAAAGGAAATTTAGTGCAATTAATTTTAAAATTTACTTCCTTTAAATAAATTTATAGCTACATCAAAATTTTGGAAAACTTTAGTTAGAGTTACCTCGAAATGGATTCAGGATGGATGAATGCTGCAGAGTTTTTGGATTATTAGAGTATACTCTGCTCATAAGGTAACCCCGCAAAAAGAAGTCTGCTGGAATGAGATTAGCGCTTTTTAGAGGCAGTGAGATTTCATCCCTGCTTAATTGGTTTGTTGCATTGAAGGGATGATTAATTTTTGATAATGCTATACTGGTAGGCTGAAAAGCTTTTTGATTTTTAAAGCTGCAAGATTCGCTAGGCTATGACCGGAGCACTTGGTTTCACCAAGACGATGGGGCTACGTGTCACACTTCAAATTAGAGCATTTAGATGGTAAAAGACATGTTCCCACAAAAAATAATTTCAGGCAGGGGTGACATCTCCTGGCCACCAGGAAGCCCTGATCTCACTCCAGAAAATACTTTTTTGTGGTGTTACATTAAGAATAGAGTATACTTTTATAATCCAACAAACATGCAGCAACTGAGCATTCAGCAAAAAATTTTAAATAGGTTTCGAGGTAATTCTAACGAACGCATTTCAAGATTTTGATGTATGTTGATCGAATGTTGTAAGCGTCAAGGAAATCTCCTGGGCGATGTAGTTTAATAAAGGTAAATTTAAAAATAAATTGCTTTAAATTTCCTTCAAATTGCAATAGTTAAAGTTCTATTAAAATGTACAGTTTTCGTTTCCTTCAATTTTCAAAAGTGAATTTTCTTCTGGGCCACCCTGTATTTATGTATTCGTCATTAGATTGAATAGCCCAGAAAAAAAAACTAGTTTTTTGAAAGGCTTTTTGAAGAATAGCTTTTTTTAACTTTTTGGACTTTAAATAAAAGCCGTCATTATTATAACCTCGTAAGACCGAAGAGTAAATTTTGTCGACTTCTAAGTATCGCCGAATGTGCTTTCAGAAGAACGAATAATTTGTAGTAGTAAACGCCGAGCACTTCGAGTAAAAAAAATTCTATGTTAGAGATTTTCTTTTGCGTTCATATTTTCAGGGGCCCTATATAATAGTGCATAGAGCTTATTTTAGGTGAAAATTAATAAAAAAATGTTTTCTCTTAAAAGAACATTCGGTATTACAGACTTTAAAAAGAAAAAGNTTAGTATCGCCTGTTATTTAGCATTATTACTGTTTTTATTTTATCAGGATATACCGCTTAGTTTAAAAGTTATTACGTTTTCTTTACAATAAGTAATTGGTAGAAAAAAAATTCTATAAAAAATTTAAAAAAAATCTCAAAAAATTTTTGACTTCTTTTTTGTCGATAAAAATAGGTCTAGTTTCATCTATTTTCATATGTACACTTTAACGTGACTCACACTGTATACTATTTTTGATCTCAATACTCAATACTCAATATTTGAAATTATTTCTGTAACAGGCCGATTGCAAGCGCAACAAGTTAAAAACACCCTAACTTCCAAATCCTCTTAGGTTATTTTGATTAATTTCGTTGCGGACCCAATGACAATTTAACTTTTCCCCGGGACAAACTAGACTGATTGGGTTTAAATATTGGCGGTCAAGCTGTAGATCCTGGCTACACAAGAGTTGCAGTGGTGGAAATGAGAGGTGGAAATAGCCCGAAGTTATACATTATAGCGCTATTGTGATTGGTGCTTTCTAGGTACTTATTGAATGAAATATTTTTGTACCAGCTCGACAAAGCATAATAAATAAAAGAAACTGCACGTGCCATGTTGTCACAGCGCAAAAAGTCCTTTAATCTTAAAAGTATTAAGTAACTTATTGCTGCCATATTTAAGATAAGTCACTTGATAAAATATAAGTGGTTTACAACCGACAAAGCAAGCAAACAATGTTATCTTGCATTTACTTTAGACCTAAAACTAAGAAGGACATCATCATCATTATTTTAGCCTTAGGACGTCCACTGCTGTACAAAGGCCTCTCCCAATGACTTCCACAATGATCGGTTGGCAGCGGCCTGCATCCAGCGCCTTCCTGCTACCTTTATGAGGTCATCGGTCCACCTTGTCGGTGGTTTATTATGCATTTAGACGTCGGTTTCTTTAATTTTTGTTTTCTTAGGTACTTCTTTTTAGCTTTATTTAATTCTTATCAAGGTGAGGTAAATACTTGACAATTATGATTTGTAGTTATGATTACTATAGGAAAGTATGTAATTAATTAAAAAAATGGTATTGTGAAGTATAAATTGAAAAACATGAATTAAACAATTTACATAATATCTACTATCCACATAATACCTTAAAAATTTAACAAACAGCATTATTTACACAATATTTTATCATTTTAGATAATCATAAACGTACAAAGGTGTCAGCAGTCGAATCGTGAATTTAAATTATCACGCATGACACTGAAATCACATGTTTTTCATTATTTCACACTATTCTTAAGTTTGTTTAATTAGCACCTACTTAAAACATGAAAACTACTCAAATATTTAAAATTCCTAATCACAAAACGTTATTATAAGTATTTCCATTTTCGAATCGCAGTAACACCGCTTCGCGCCAAAATAAAAACAAAAAACAGTCGCGTACCTGTTTCTTGAAAGGCGTGATCCACCCCGCTTCACCCCCCATGTTCGATCCACCACCATCCGCACCAGTCGACCGACTGATCGGTCGATAACAAACACTCACAGATTATTCACAATCTCGAGATTCGATAGACATCGACTGCAACTGTCACATGTTGTGGCACAAAAATAAACACGTTTGCTTACAGTTAGGGATAACAACGTCACGTCTCGCTCACACATTCATTGCCTGTAAGGCGACTAAAAATGTAGACTTTGGTTCGTGACGTAATATCGTGACGTTTTGCCGCGCCCACGTGCTACGCCCAAGCTTGGGCAAATAAGCCAATTGTGCTGAAGTAAGCAACACACGTTGGCTCTACATTTACTACAGTGCGTATAATTTAACCCCCTTCTTTCTTTCCCCTCGCCTTTGAACATGGCGCAAGCTGACACACCGCGCGGGTTGTCTATACAATGTTACGTCACGTCCAACGTCTGTCCAAGATCGATGCAGACATTGGCGTATTGGCTCCAAGTCTTGGTGCAAACATCAGCATTAGCCGATCACGGAACGACAAATGCAGTAAACGTGCGCCCAGTGGGTCATAGCGTGTTAAATATTTACCAGGAATTTTTATCAATTGACCCATAATATTAGTCATTATAGATAATGGATGGATTCAATTACATTAGGTACAGTGTAAGCGTGTAAGGCACATTATGGATTTTTTTACCCTATTAGTAATTCAAATTAAAAAGCACGGCAAAATTTCTAATGTAATGTACAGTCACGGAATGAAAAGGTTCGTCAGTTTTCAAATTGATTCCTTCAACGAATGGCGAGCACATATTATTACCTTTTGAAACTATTTTGTTGCAGAATAATCTCGAGTTAGAGAAAATAATCTTTAACTGTTCGTCAGTAAAGTTCAAAATTATTCAGATCAAAGTTTGACGATTTATCTTGTCAAGAAGATTATTATGATTGATAAACTAAAACCTTCTTGTTGGTTCAACCTGCCATTATTATTTCTTTTAAATAAAAAAAACTATTGTCAATTGGTCAATGTCATCATTGCATTGCACTGATGGGATAGAAAAATAAACAAGCAAAACCTTATTCGTTAGCAAACGTCATATTTATTTAAATGTTAGCAGCACTGTTATGTTGGCAGGTTTGACTCTCACAGCACCTAGTGCAAGCGAAAACCGACACTAAGGTGACGAACCTTTTCATTCCGCGACTGTACAACCCGGTCGAGTTAAATGCGCACTTGGCAGCCGTGACGTCACATCAACGCTTTGGTTCGGATGGGGCGAACGCGGGGTGATGCGCGGGTGCAAGGGAAAGTCGCATTCCATCGAGATGCGCAGCTAGACCGGGGAATCAAACTGGGAGAGGTAGCAGGAAGACGCTGGACGCAGGCCACTACCAACCGGGCAACATGGAAAGCATTGGGGGATGCATATATGTATTCAGCAGTGGACGTCCTATGGCTGAGATGATGCTGATGAGTCCAACTGGGGACCGTTCGCTTCAACGGTTGGACTCCCGTAGATTAGTGACGTATTTCGTAACTACCATTATATACTTACATTCTTTTAATCATAATGAAGTAATAGATTAATTTGGTGATTGTAATAAAGCCATTACATAACAGAACAATTAGTTAGAGCTTGTGCTGATAACTATGACTCAAAAAGTGCTAGTCATCATTAGATTGTTATTATCATTTTTGCAATTTATTATATTAATCAACTCACAATTAAGTCTCTGGCAAACAGCCGGTCGTGGCAGCAAGTGTTTGTGGAATTTCCACAGTCCACTTAGTAAATAGCTATAGCTGCTACCACGTATTGAGTTGATTTAAGGATCTAGCGTTTAATTTCTCTTTATTTTATCAAATTGTTTATTTTATCAAACACTCATTCTAGTAAGTATATACATTTTGGAAGTTAACAATAATTGTTGTTCTGATTGTGCTATCTGGAGCCTAAACTAGGGCCACCTTGTATTTTACTAGCCTTTTACTAGTCATAATGGAGAAAATTATAATCAATTGTCATATTTGTCATCCACACAAAAGAAATTCATTTCACAAATATTTTGAGTTTGTACGTTATTAGGGCCTTACTTAAATACAAATAAATGACATTTGAGATTTGATTAACACTCTTAAAATGGGGGACGTCCTAAAAATTTACACTATCAACGAAAAATAACTATTTTCAGTTTTTCTTAATTTCAAACCACTGTGCAGCGGCAACTCCCCGTAACTGTGCCGTAACGTTGGGCATAATTTTGTATAATCCTCCTAAATATAGAACACCTTAGCCGGTTGGCTGGAAGCCAGTTACGACGTTACGAGCTAAGGTCAATGCCAGTGATGCCAGTGAATGGATGATTCAAAGGTGAGTAATTAATGGTAAAGATAGTTACGTACACCGATGCATGTCGTGCCTTTATGGCACCTTCGCGGCCTGATCATCATTAAGGCCCGATTTTCACCAAGGCGGAGCGGAGAAGTATAAATAATGTAATCTGATCGGTTATTCAAAACACTTCTCCGCTTCGCTCCGCTCTGCTCCGCTTTGGTGGAAACCGGACCTTACTATCAGATTAGATGCAAGCCAAGAGCTTCTCCATTGTGAGTAGAAATAGTGGCATGACTTTGGATGTATTTATGTAGGTACAATTCTTGAGTTCGATTTCTGTCAGAGTCCTATTTAGTACTATATTCAATTCTAACAGGAATCGAACCTGCAGCTACAGTAATCACCCACCACTAACCACTGACGAAAGCTGGTGTCGACCTAACAGAGACGATAGCCTAACAGTTTCGGTGCCAATTGCAAGATTCGAGGGTAGCTTGTTCAATCAAGTAGTGGTCTAAATTGAATAAAATATTTTTGAAAATGTACTAGCCATGTACTAGAAATAGCTAGTCAAATCCCGTAGAACTTTTGAACCAAGCATTACTTGGCTTATCTGGAGGAGTTAATAGGAATACTTACTTTGGATAAAACAAATCACTTCACTGTAGTTAACACGGGTAGGAAAAAAACCACCAACCGTCGTTTTATGACGCCTTATCCAACTCTGTTTGTTATTGCACCCAAGTGTAATTGCTCAGCTCTTTTGAGAAGGGATTTTCAATTTGGTTGTCTACTACACCACACTACCGACAGTAAGAAACGCTCCTAATTACAGCTGAATCAACCTTACTCCCTGATGTCAAAAATTCCAGCTATTGCTTTTAAGCTATCGACATCAGAACTTAATTTCTGACTTAGGCGATTATCACACTGCGCCATGCTCCGCCGCGATACGCGGGACGACAGATTTAATCATTGTATGCAAGTACCTCAGTTTGTCTAGCAAACACGCGCGGCACAACACACTGACAACGCGTCCGCGCGCGGGATTTTTTATATGAAATCACGCGGACCACGGCGCAGTGTGATAACCGCCTTACATTAACTTTTTACTTTATTATTAATATAGGTACTTTGATAATTCAGATTCCCTATGTGAAAATTGCAACTAATAAATGGATAAAAAAATATCCTCAACAAGAAAGATGTAGGTATCTCTTGATGGTGAAACCCAATTAAAAAGGTCCTTTGCCTTAATAAATACCTACCTACTTACATGGTACCTCTATGTACTTTATGTGTTTTGGCTCTAACTTTAAAAGTAGCCGTCTTTTTCCTGGTATATTAAGGTTTTGAATGCTAAGTAACCTACATCTGTTTAATGCTCATTTTATCAACCGACTTCAAAAAAAGGAGGTTCTCAATTCGACCCGTATGTTTTTTTTTTTTTTTTTTTCTATGTTTGTTACGCGATAGCTCCGCCAATTATGAACCGATTTGAACAAATCTTTTTTCAGCGTATAGGTAATATCTCAAGGGTGGTCCCATTTAAATTTAATAATAAAAAAAACAACCCCCAAGGGTGGAAAATTGGGGATGAACTTTTTTATACGCAATATCTCCGCCGATTATAAACCAATTTGAACGATTATTTTTTTGTTGAATAGGTATTATCAAAAGGGTGGTTTCATGCGAATTTGAAGAAAATATTTCACCCCCAAGGGTGGAAAATTGGGGATGAACTTTTTTATAATATACATTAAGAATATGGTCTCAATGTACTGCCTACCTTCAGTGGTAACATCAAGGTAATAATTAGTCAACTAAAAAGCAAGAAATAAGTTAAATTTTATAAAAAAAAATAAAACCGACTCCAAAAAACCTACACTAAAAAGCAGAATAATAATTACTAATTACCTACTTATTTATTAGGACGAATTATTAATATTTATGTAGGTATACCATGATTGATACTTTTGGAGTCGGTGCAGGCAAACTTTACATGTTTCATAATCTTGGCACCGACTCCAGAAGTATCAATCATGGTATACCTACATAAATATTAATAATTCGTCCTAATAAATAAGTAGGTAATTAGTAATTATTATTCTGCTTTTTAGTGTAGGTTTTTTGGAGTCGGTTTTATTTTTTTTTATAAAATTTATTACGTATCTATTAGTTAACTTTCCTAGTTTCCTTATCATTTAAACTAAAAATGCCACTGTAAATGGCAATAGATAGAGGCTTCGTCAATATATAGAGAGAGAATGATTATTTAGATGCAAATATCATGAAGGTTTTCGTCGATATGTTACGAATTAGGTAAGTATGTACTTAAATATGTAGAGGTTTGAAAAAACATAAGTACCTAACCCTCCTTCTGATAAAAATAAAGACGTGTTATTAATTTTAACTCAAATATAGATACATACGAGTATGTAGTATTATAGTAGTTATTTAACTTAATATTGTACCATCTATTTAATTTCTTTGTGACAAGATAATTGTACAAAAGGTGAGAAAACCCTTGTTTTAAGGAAATTTCCTCACTCAATTACTATAATTAATGTTCTAAAACTGGTAAACATTCGTCATCAAACCAATAGTTATTCGATGAAGTATTGTTGCTCCGATTGTTCTGGTAACTGACAAGTTATGGTTGAGAAAACGATTTCATTCTGTCATAATTTCTTAGGATTGCTATCCGGCTAATGAACTGGCTATAAATATTAATTGATAATTATTTACCAACTTATTATAGCCTTCGTTGTGGGTCACGCAAGGTATTCTGTGTGATTTGTAAAAAATCAATTAGCTTAGTTAGGGCATCATCATCTCAGCCATAGGACGTTCACTGCTGAACACAAGTAGGTTCACCGATGATTTCCATGTTGCCCGGCTGGTGGCTGTTAGCGACCTGCGTTCAGCGCCTTATGAAATTCCTGCCACTTTCACGATGTCGTCGGTTCACGCTGCGTTTTCCAATACGGTAGGTACATCCTTGAATAGAAATTGAGAAAAACTGGAGATATCAATTCAGACACCGGACCTATTGTAAGTAATATAATTTGACGAGCAGGTAATTTTTCTACCATAATATTGACTTACAATAGTTAAGAAATGAAAATAATAATAATACATACATTTATTTTCGTAACTTAGTCTAATAATATACAGATAATG